ATTTTTCTGATGAGGAAATTGAGGCTCTGAGAAGTGACATGCCTTGCACAAGGTCATGGATTTGGTAAAGGATTTGGGTCGAGTTCTGTCAGATTCCAAAGCCATTCCCTTGCCACGCCAGGCTCCCTGTATAATGAGTGTGTGACTCAAGAATGAAAAGGAGTTAATGGAGTGGCCATTCCACTATTCTTTCCACTACTTCACTTGGTGAATGACTAATAAGCAAACACTCCCAGAGGGTATTTGCATTTTAAAAGAGGAGCTCATTAACCCTAATGAATCTCTAATTGGTGGAGTATGTGGGGGAGATCTTTCTGATCACTGGGGCTTTCTCCTGTGTCTTCAAGGTGCCTGGCTCTCCTGTTCTCTCTCTATAGATTATCAACTCTTCTGGAATCAGAAGTATGTAGTAGAATGCAGACACATCCTGCTAGTCCGCCCCAAATGCCATCGGATGAACTGATGGGGTGGGGGGGGGGGGTTGTTGTGGAAAGATAGCAAGAAAATAAGTGTAGGTTAGCACTGTGGAAAATGTTCCAAAGCTGAATAACAAATTTGGCAACTTTGAGGGTCATCTGAAGAGTCAGGCAAAAATAATATATTCCTTAACCAATTTTAACTTCAGAAATGTTCTATCAGCATTTTCCGTGGTGTATTCATAGATCCCTGTGAAATGTTTAAAAGGTATCAGTGAATACAATGCTCCAGTCAAGTACATTGTGAAAAAAAGTTGTAAAGTTCTTTACTGAAGAATTTCTCAGAGCCTTTAATATGTTAAAGTGCATTGGAAATCAACTGGAAGGGAAGGCATTCTGCAGATTTTTCTCATACTTTCGACCATAGAAATAATTTTTCCATGTGAACCCCTCAAAACTAGTGCTTTATAGACTGCATTCTCAGATAAGCAGTTCTAGATAATTCTTTTCTGGTTAAAAGAAAGAAAACAGTCTTCTGCATTCACAGCTTTTCATATTTAGCTAGGCTCCAGCCCTGTCCGCATCAAGCCCATTCCCAGTCCTGTTAGACCCCAAGGCCTTCCAGTAGGAACTCTCTTTTTCTTCAGATAAGAGCTAACCCATTTGGGGGGACACACCCCAACGGAGACTAAATTCTCATTGTTACTGCCTATTGAGCTGGTGTTGAAGAATGTGGTTTCCATCAAAGACCGGATAGGTTTTTGAACCCGAGGATTAGCTTGAGCTCCGTCCAGTTACGGGAAATGCTGGGCTGGAGCAGCTTTTCCCAGATGGAGGAGGTCCCCGTGGAGGGTCAGAGCAAACAGAACCACATGCTGCCTGTGGTCCTCTCGTTCTCAAGAGCAGGGGAGGACGAAGGGGCAGAACCACATGCACAAGGTCCCCAAATTACCAAGCCATGGATGGGAGAGTGAAGGGAGGCCTGGGGTTAATGTTATTAGATTTTCCTCCACATTGAAGGAGGCCTAAGTGTAAGGATACTTCCCCACCCCCTCTCCTGCCAAAACAAGTCTCCTCTGGGTAACCCAAATAGGCATTGGGGTTCCCCTCCCAGCCCTGGGGATTTCGCTCCTTTCATCCTTCTCTTAAACCTAGTGCTCACTCTTGACCACCATTTCTCCTCTCCTTTGACTCAATTCACCCAGTAGAATAGGACCATGATGATACCCTAATGACCATCCCTTCCTTGTCTCCTCATATAACTCAAACATAATTCAGCATTTTATCCTAGAAAAGGTGGAGTACATATAGTCTCTAAAATAGGGGTCAGGAGGGGCGCCTTGCTGGCTCAGTTGGTAGAGCATGTAGCTCTTGAGCTCAGGGTCATGAGTTCAAGCCCAGTGTTGGGCATAGAGATTATTTAATAAGATAATAATAATAAACCCAGAGATTAGGAAACTACAGCTTGAAACTTGTTTTTGTAAATAAAATTTTATTGGAACACAGCTATATTTGTTAGTTTATATATTGTCTGTGACTGTTCTCAGCCACAAGGGTAGAGTTGAGAATTTTGTGACAGAAACAGTAGGGGCCACAAAGTCTAAAATGTTTACTGTCTAGCACTTTAAATGGAAAACATCTGCCAATCTCTAAAATATAGATGATTTTTGCTTCAGCCCTTTGAGTTCCAAAAGAGCTTCCTTAGTATGTATATTTAGTCTTTATTATTTACTCTAAATAACAACTACATTTTAAACCAAGAAAATTGCATGGTTGTAGTATAAGAGGGATTTTGCCTTTTGTGGAACTGTTACTAGCCATACAAACTTCTGGAAAAACATCAGGGGGACTGTGTTTGCTTTAAAGGATGGGAAGGAAGGAGAGAGGCTTGCTCTGGTCAGAAGTGCTGGGCATCATCATTGGAAAGGGAAGAGAAGAGATCATCTGTGAGGCTTGTGGAAGAAGAAAGGAGTGGAGAAGCTTCTCTGGGCACAGCAGGTTGGACCAGCACAAAACCCTGTGTTCAGAGCTCCCTTTCAGATCCTCAGGCTCTTCTTTTCACTGTTCTCTAACTCAGACTTGATTCCTCCCACCTTGCCCCACATCCATGGGAACCTTCCACCAGACCACAGAAACCCTAGAAGTTCTGGGTCCCACTGTGACTGCCTTCTACATGGGAGACTTCGGGCAAGTCACCGAGTGCCTCTGCCCCTTAGGGTTCCTTCTCCCTAAACTGGGGAGACAGAGGGTGGATGGGGGAAGATGCCTTACTTCGTCATAGTGAGAATCAAATGTGGTGCTGTTAAAAAAGAAAGAAAAGAAAAAAGTTTTATGGAATGTAAAGTACTGTGAACATGTTGGTTGTTTTTGTTCTTTTTAAACAGCTGACTGGCAGATGACAATATGTAATCTATCTAGTATATAAATTAGAGTTAACTGGCAACTTGAAAACTAAAGTATCTTATATCCCATTTGTCACGTGCATCTTTATTGTTGAAGTATCTAACTTTCATGTGGGTTATAAAAAATTAGAGAAAATAACTGAATTTTTCTCATGATAAAATAATTCTTTAGTGGGAAGAAAAAAATCCCATTTCGTCGTGACCTGTTCCTTTCCATTTGTTTGTGTAGTTTTCATTTTGTGGCTTTGTTTATAGAGAATAATCTTGCAGATGGCATTTTTCCCTTGTAATCAGTTATTGTCCTATCTGAGTCATCACCAGACATGGCATTTCAGTAAATAGTGATTCTACAATCGCTTCCAGGCAGATGTGTTGTGTGATGTCAGGAACACTGGCTGATAACCTTTCTGGTTATTCAAGCAGTAGGGAGAAATGGAGAAAGCTTTGTACAGATACACAGCTTGAAGTCAGAAAATGGCAAAGGAAGTACAGACTTTGTGTCGAATGATTTTCGCCAAACACAGTGTGTGGATAGGGGATTGAGCAGCAATCATTTTATTTTTTATCTTTATTTTTTAAATAGTTTACTATCAAGTTGGTTTCCATATAACACCCAGTCTCATCCCAACAAGTGCCCTCCTCCTTGCCCATCACCCCCCTTCCAGCAGCAATCATTTTAAAAGGGAGAAGCTCTTGAGGAAATGACCTTTCCTATTGGACGATACATATAATAAGCATATGTTTAATAATAATGAGTTATTAAACATACTTTGACCTCAGTGTGCAGACCTTTGCATTACCTTTGCTACTCATGCTGCTGTGGCCTTCACACCACTAGCCAAGCAAATTAAACTCCCCATGAATTGGGTTTGTCACCTGTAAACTGGGGGCTTATCTTGTCCCTAACTTTCAGAGAGAAGAGAGATTTCTGAAAACAAGGCTCTTTGAGATTTACAAATAAATGGTCAGTTTAAACAACACTTGGAAATCAATCAAAATAGTTAGACATGCTAAGACACAAAAGTAGGTGGATGTAATTGTTCACTTAATAGCTGTTAACTTTATTATCCTGTAGACACACCCCCAAAGTTTTTAATGCTTTGGTCTCTAGGATTTTTTTCTTATAAAGCACTAATTGTTTTAAAAACCTAATAAGTTATACCACAATTGTGGATCCCTAGAAGCAGTATAGCATAGTGGTATTTAATACAGTTGCCTTTTGGGGCACCTGGATGGCTCAACTGGTTGAGCATCTGACTCCTGATCTTGGCTCAGGTCATGAGCTTATAGTTTATGAGATCAAGCCCCACATTGGACTCTTGTGCTGACAGTGTGGAGCCTGCTTGGGATTCTCTCTCTCCTTCTCGGTCTGCTTCCCCAGCCCTGCTCACATGCTCGGACTCTCTCTAAACAGATAAATAAACTTAAAAAAAAAAGTTTAAAAAAACACAGTTGCCTTTTAAGTTTCACAAATGTGTTTAGAAGGGCATTAACTGTATGCTCAAATAAAGTTTTTTATTACATGCCATCTAATATTTTATCTCAGTTTTATGGACAAGATATGATAAAGAGAAGTTCACTAATTTATTCAGCTAGTATTTATTGAATACCTATTATGTGCTGGGTCTTGCCCAATGATAATATCGCACATAGCTGAGAACAGAGCTTACAAACTGGAATATGCATCGATGTGCCTACATTTTAAACATTTTGGGGGGAGGGGAGTTACTTTATCATAAGTAAACATCAATTTAGTTCTTCATGATTTTAGAATTTAACAGGCTTATTTAATTCTTTAAAATGTCAGTAAGGCTCTTTCTTGATTATCGCCATTGGTATGCTAAACTTTTGTGTTTCATAAAAAAAGTTAAGCTCAGCCAGGACTTGCATACTTTGTTATCTCCAATCAAGACTTGTGACCTTCCTTATTAACAAATTCCTAACCTTTAGTGTTGGCCACATCATCATCTATGAATCTTATAATCTTCCCCTGTTGTGGACATTCCTGAACTGGCTCAATTTTACAGAACGGCAGTTTACAAATTCCTAAACCAACCTCTCATTTTGCATTAAAGAAGTAGGCTAATTGTTTCGTTACCTAACATGTGTTAATCACAGATCATTAGAGATAGTTAATAAATTAAAATAGGTCGTAAATAAATGAAATTATGCTTATACTTACCCAACTATGTTTGTGTCTGTCCTATGTCCTTGGAGCCAGCCTAGTTACCAACTTCGTTTCACCCAAGCATCAACCTCAGGAATCAAAGTATTAACTGAAGGCTAATTTACGAATTTGTTCATTGTTCTTTCCTTCTGTAAAGATTGTTTGACATTTGGTTAATTATTACATGCAAATATCCATATCTACTCAGAGGCAAATGTACAGACACACAAGTAAACACTTATAAAGAGGAAACCTTATTAAAAAACATAACATGGGGGCACCTGGGTGGCTCAGTCGGTTAAGCGTCCGACTTTGGTTCAGGTCATGATCTCATGGTCTGTGGGTTCGAGCCCCGTGTCAGGCTCTGTGCTGACAGCTCAGAGCCTGGAGCCTACCTCAGATTCTGTGTCTCCCTCTCTCTCTGACCCTCCCCTGCTCACGCTGTCTCTCTTTCTCAGAAATGAATAAAGCGTTAAAAAAAATACTAATAATATGGAGGACACTTACTAATTTGCCGTATCTTCCTTAAGTCATAAACTCTCCTAGTTTATTTGAAATATGACCTGATTTACAAAATATGAATTCACTTGATACTTCCAGAGTAAACCTCTATAAAAGCAGGATATAGCTTTGGTTTAGATTGTTTGTATGTATATGAATGGATGATTTCTGAAACCTCTATACAATTACCATCCTTAAAAATTAAGTTACTTTGAAACAAAAGAAATAGTAGTTGCTTCCATAGTGTGAAACATACAGTGACAAAAGATATTTTAAAAGAATAGAAGACAGTTTGGCCTCAATGGTATGGTAAAGGTGTTGTTTTTTTCCTTTTTCCTTTTTTGCTTTATAGGAGATACAGTTCATGAGCAAAGAACGGCAGCAAGAGGTAAAACTTCAGAAGAAGAAGGCAGCCAACCTTTAGAGGTAAGTGAAACTCAGTAAGCCCTTTTGGGGTAAAGCTCAACGAGTCACTAATTATATATTCCTCTGAGGATAAATAGTAGCTTCCACTCTTGCTGCATACATAGACAGGTGCCGAGTACAAATAATACAGGTGATTTCTCCAGTGCTGAGCTTTTCCTAGTGCTTGATATGGAATCTTTCAGTTGAAAAAAGAGGAAGAGAGCACTTCAGTTAAAACATTGGAACTATTTTTAATTGAGTGATTATTTTCTAATACATTCAAGTGAGTAGGTAATATGTGCACCTGTAAGGAAAGGTTTGCAAATACCAATTTAGAACTGTATGGCCTTACCATTTCCAGCATCAAAGCATACTCCTTGACACCGTTCGGTAGAAAGACTAGGGTATTGGTTCTTTTCCACATGAGAAAATTATTTTTTCATTGTGGGTACTTCGAAATGCAATTCAGATCCTTTTCATAGACTATGTGGAAATATCCTAACATTCTTTAATCACTAAAATAATCATTTTTAAGATTTAGGGGGAATAGGAATTATTAGGGTAGAAGATAGGAATTTTGAAACTTTCTACATGGTGACACACCCCTACTTAATTCTTCTTGTGGTACAGGAGGCTATTGGTGCATACAGCCAGAGAGAGGTCAGGGACCTGGCCTGTTTGATTCATCACCATAGTCCCAAAGCCTAGCACAGACTAGGCAGTCAAAAAGATTTGTTAAATGAATAAATGAATAAAATCTTGATCAGTCAAGATGCATCTTACCCAGTCTCGGGGTTTTAAATTCTTTGAAGAGGCTGATGGCTCCTCAAGTAGATCTCCATGAGACTTCTCACATGAGCTCTAGACTATATCCAACTGCCTATGTGCCATTTCACTTACACATTTCTAGACCAGGCTAAGTGTATGACTTTGGTTCAGGTCATGATCTCCCGATTTGTGAGTTCAAGCCCCACATCAGGCTCGGTGCTGAGAGCTCAGAACCTGGAGCCTGCTTTGGATTCTGTTTCTCCCTCTCTCTCTGCTCCTCCCCCATTCCTACTCTCTCTCTGTCTCTCAAAAAGTAAATAAACGTTAAAAAACATTAGAATCAAAACACCTGAGGTACCCCTGCCCCTCTCCTCCTCACGTTGCACATGCAGCCCATCAGTAAGCCTGGTCACCTCTCCCTCAACCTGTGGAATCTGACCCCTTCTCAGCACCGACACCGTTAGAATTCTGGTCTGAGCCACCACCGTCACCAGGGCTCTCTACTCCCTGCCTTCTCCCTTAAGTCCATTCTCCACACAGCAGATGGAAGTATGAGTGAGATCACATCACCCCTTGGCTTAAAACCTCCTGGCTGCCCACTGTAGCTAGAACACCTGCTGTATATTATGGCGGGCTCCCAAGAGCAACACGTGCTCTCCCATTCCCATTCTCTCCACACCCCCAAACTCCAGCCCCACCTACCAGCTGCTATTCTGTCCCCTAGTCATGTTAAATTCCTTCCCACCTCAGCCTTTGCATTTGCTATCCTTTTGTTACTGTAGGGTCATTCAGGTCTTAGTTCCAGTGTCATTTTTCAGGACTCCCTCAGCTAACGTATCTTCCCCCCCGCCCCCCACCACTGTCACATAACTTCACCTGATTTCCTCCACAACCTTTATTCTCAGATTATTCATTTGTTTACTGTCCGCCTCCCCTGACTAGAATGAAAACAGACTCTCTGGGCCTAGAATAGCATCTGGTACGTGGAATGTGCTCAGTAAATACCTGTTAATGGTGATCTAGATTTCCTGTAATGCCATCATCTGCCTGCCAAGTTAAAGGCCGAAAAATGTCATTTTGACTCATTCACCTCAATGTTCTAATCAGGTCTATCAATTCTTACTGATTCTACCTCACAAATACCCTCCCAAGTCTAGTTCCTCATTCTTCAACTAGGTCTTTGTCTGTCCACTAGACGGTTATTAGATGAGCAGTTTCTTTTCCAAATCCCTTTCTGAAAAGAACAGCAGGTTTTGTTACTTCAGGCCCCCCCAGATGCCTTGAAACCTGCTAAATGAAGCTTAAAAACAAAACACTGTTCAAATGGCACCTCCTTTGTGAACTCTTTCTACACCTCCCAGCCAGAGATAGCCTCAATGTCCTTATACTACTTGTGCTGTCTTTTATGACTTCACGATCATGCCAGTTCCTGGAAGATGGAGTCTATACCTTAGTTAACTAGCTTTATAGCTTCAGCCACTAACCTAGTGTCAGACACATGTGTGTGGTATGACAGAGGTGCCCTGTCAGTGATTCTAAGGTGGATAAATGAACAAATAAGTTAACAAAGGAAAAAAAGACAGCAAATGCGGTCTTGTATGTCTCTTCATTAAATCCTATTTTTCTCCTTACACTATAAACACATGGCATTTTTTTCTTTTTATCACTGTAAAAATTTTTCTTATTTCTTAGAACTTACCCATAAAAATCTATTAATTTACACTATTATTGACACTCTTACTAAATTAGCAAGGAAAAATATAATTTCATTAGAGCATCTGACTTCGGCGTGAGTCATGATCTCATATTTTGTGAGTTTGAGCCCCATGTTAGGCTCTGTACTATCAGCTCAGAGCCTGGAGCCTGCTTCAAACTCTGTGTCTCCCTCTCTATCTGGCCTTCCTCACTCATGTTCTGTTTCTCTCTCTTTCTCAAAAATAAATAGACATTAAAAAAAAAAAAGATACACCTCTGATTTAGAAATTGTAACTATTGTACCTTAGCAGGAAGGATTCTCATTATTTTAGTTTTTAATGGCTATACAAGAAATGTTGAAATATTATTTATAGTGAGAATATGTTTGGTAAATTAGCATGGGTTCCATAATGTCTAAAAATAAGACTTTTAGTTGCCAAAATATAACTCCCATTTCTAAGGACCCGTTGGAGAAGGTGGCTTTAGTATATCAAAATAGGTTTTCTGGTAAGTTCAGATAAACATTGAGATTGTCTGCTGTTCTCAAGGAATTGTTGGACCTGGGGTAGAGAGGCTGTCAGATACGTACAACTGTGATTCTCAGTTACAGAAGCAGACATTCTCTATTCTATTCATGGAAAATTAGAAAACTCCAAAAATCCCTGGCTCCCATGGCAAAACAAATCATCAAAAACTGTTTGTATTAGTGAAAATTGCTTTTGGGATGTCTGGGATTGAGGCATGTTTTAAAACATTACTTTTTCAGAATAAACTTTAACTTCAAATAAAAAAAAAAAAAAAGGAAAACTCCAAAAATTGCTCTAATATAAAATGGGATAATAAGTTCCTTAACTTCCATAACTTTTACAAAGGTAAGTGAGATTTCAATGAAGGAAGAAATGCTAGGTGAGCTTTGAACCATGAACAAATTTTTCTTACTATTTATACAATTAATTCCTATATGATAAATTCCTGTGAAATTCCTTGACGAAATCCTTCATTAAGAACATTTTAATAAAAACTTGAAAGAAAAAAAAGAGGATATTTTAGAAATATAGAGGCAAATCATGGTATGAAACAATTTTCCACATAGGCATCTCAATGATAGATGATAAAGGGTTAAAAATGAATGTAGCTCGGCCTAGGCTATACTCTAGTTTTAACGGCACTTAAAATATTTTGTTAAGTAGTCTGTGCTATTTTTCCTTACACTCTATAGCCCAGGTATACGTAAAAAATGTGTTCCCTCTCCAAATACAGCTCTCTCCCGACATCGTGACTCTAGCATCTAGGCAGAATAGAATTTGCAAAAAGGGGATGTGGTTTGGACATCAATAAGTGAATTTTTACAGATTTGGATTAGGAGCTATGTTGATACATTTACACAAAAGACTATGAAAGGCAGCATATTTATTTGCATTAATTAGTGGGACTTTTTACTGTGTGAACTGAAAATAGTGCAGCATTCACTTCAGAAAAACATTAATTTCTTAGTATACTTGTCTTCTTCAGTCCCCTTCTCCTCTTCAGTTCCTTCCAATGATGACTTTAGTTACTATTGTTTCTACCTTGGCATTCCCTCTGTATGATCCCAAAGTATCATCACCTAAAACAGTATAACTTAAGTATCAAACCATTTAGTCATCAAACATGGTTACCCTTAAGTTGTGCTTTAGTCTCTGTTTTTAGGAGCCACTGGTAACTTTTAACAGCATTCATCATGTTTTTGGTGTGTAGAGCTTAAGTTCCCATAAACTGATGTTTGGGCTTATTAAAATTA